AGTAACTCATCAGGTTCAGCATTTTAGCTGAACTTTTCCTAAAGTTTCCATGTTTATGACATATGAAAACTATATATTGTATTATAAGTTTCTTGTATCACTGTTGCCATAGGAGCTGGATTCTGGCTGCCTGGCAAGTGACCAACCCATCCCAACATACACTAATAAATACAGTAGTATATTGTCTACTTGAGAATGTTAGTCTGCTAAATCCAATCCCTTGTTTCAGAGCCAGAGTTTTATAGTAAAATATATAAGACATAAAGCATTTCTCAACAGTCATCATTTACAGTACAGTAGTGTGAAAGTGCAAATGCTGACCAACTTTATATTGTTATTAAATATGTCTCACCCATATAATGTAGCTTATGTTGGAAAAAAGTTTCCATTTGAATAAATTAAGATACTGTACATGTATTTAGATACTGTATGGGATATCATACAAGTCTGTAGAATTTTCATTGTCATTTATTTGAGATAATTTGTAAGTGCTAAAATATTTGTACAGTAAGTTTTATTATATATAAAGTAACCTGGCTTTGAAAGTGTTGGATCAAGAAGACTGACATTCTTATGTAAATCATCACAGTTATGTTCATGAGCTGAATGAACGACACTATGGCAAAATATATATATATATATATATATATATATATATATATATATATATATATATATATATATATATATATATATATATATATATATATATATATATATATATATATATATATATATATATATATATATATATATATATATATATATATATATATATATATATATATATATTTAAAAGATTTTTGTAATGAAGGTGCTTAAAATTCTCACTCTCATACTGAAGTTGTTTACTTATGTAAGATTTTCCTCTCTTTATGAAGTGTGATTGTGATGTGTGTATAAGTTTTACAGCTTGAAGGTTCCCAATGTTATAGTACAGTACTTTAATCCCAAGCATAATAACTACATTCTTTTATTGTATAGGATGAACTCACAACAATAATTCTCTTAATAGAACAGGAAATAATATTTTGTTGTTTTGTTAAACAGCAAAAATACGTACAGAGGAAAATTAAAAGTTTTGGAATGTCAGAAGCTCTTTCTGATTTATATAACCATGTTTATGTTCACTACAGGAGTATCCTCTCTTAAAGCAGGAGGCCATGTGGTACTCTCCACACCATGGCTGTTGCAGGGGTAACATTTTCAGACAGATAAAGCACTGGTACTTATATGTGCATCTGATGGGAGAATATTTATAGCCTTCCATCGGCTTATCAAGTCTTAGAGGTTACAGTCCTGGCTGGCCACAATCATACAATTGGTACAGTTCTCCTGTTACAGCCCCAGTACTGTAATGTACTATACTAAGAAAAGGGTCTGGAAGGTAAAGGTCACCACTCAAGGTTGAGAGCTAGATGAATCCTAACACAGTAGCAGTTTGTGCACTCAAAACCCTTCTATATCCATCATCTGCCATTTTGGATTTTCAGTAACAAGCCTCAGTCCAGCTGTTTCCCAGCTTGAAGCAAGTCATTCTCTGGAGAGCTCTGATTCATAACAGAGTTGATGTGTGCTTACAACTTGTATTTAATACATGGGGAAACATGCAGCTATCATTAGCAGAGTGAAGTGTAATCCAGCCTTGATATGATTTTGGTTACAAGAATTATTACAGTTGTGTTGACTGTCAATTGCCAGTTGAGCTGGCAGTAGTTTGGGATGCTAATCTTACCTGTCCTGTGTCAATGGTAGGTTCTGGTGTCACTATGTCAATAACTTTGTGTATCTTTCAGGATAACATTTTACTAACCAGATAGGTGTTTGGCGTGTGGGGCGGGAATATTCAGTTTGAAGCCAATAATAGGTTTACGAAAAGCCCTGTATAGGATGTCAGTTGGGGACTGACTGAAATTCTGCTTGCAGGGTTATAAGAACTGTCAGTGTTTTATTGGGATAGCTGTATTTTAGAATTGGATGTTGCATACCTTTCTGGACAAATTCTTATGTGAGTACTGTACAGTAATATTTCAGCAGTTGCTCAAGATAGAATTTCATCTCCTTTGTTGAACTTAGATGGCTTTTCTCTTCCTTGGTATTTGAATCAGTAAGAAGTTTTAGGGTGATAGTTTTCTGTCAGTCTGAACAATATTTTGGAGTTCTAGTTGGATTTCTTGAAGCATGATCTTTGCAGCAAAGTACTGTATGATTAATGTTAGTGCAATTTCTTAGGAGGATTCTTAAAAGATTCTTCTATAGGGGAGTGCCTTAGACAGGCTGTTATTATTGGCTTTTGGGTGTTAATTTTTCTTCTAAGGCATTTAAGGGTATATTTATGTCTTAATTATGATCATTGAGGCTCTTAGCAAGGTCCTGGAGTCACTTGGGAACCTGTTGATAGAGAACTGGCATTGTCTTCCACAAATTTGTTTTTCTTGTTAACCCTGGCATCAGGTAGATGGGTACTGTACTGTATATAAGATTATGCCATAAGAAGGGGGTCTAGTTTTGTGTCAAAATCTTAAACAATAAGTAAAGGCTGCTAAGGCAAGATGCTGTAAGCACTGAGACTTAACTTTCAACCTCGAGTGTTGACCTTCACCCCCAGGTCCTTCTCTTGAGTGCTAGATTAAGATGGTAGAGCTGTTCTAATTGTTTAGTTAATGCCAGCCATCAGTGTGGAGGGTTGGCCTGTGTTACAGCCTGTAAGGCTTGATGGATACAGGCATACCCCAATAACCGACACATCTAGGGACCTTGAAAAGTCATTGGTTAGTGAATCAACGGTTACGAAGTAATTAATCCCATAAGAATACGTATAAAAAATTCAGGGGGTTAGGTACCGGCTACCCTCAAAAACTCCCATCTACCCTTGATATATATGTTGTGCAGACTGTCAGGCAAGAAAATAAAGCAGACATAAAACAAGCATAATAAGCATTAAATAAGGAATGTAGCATAAATTGACTGTTATTAACCTGTGTTGAGGATGGTAGAGACAATCTGGGGTGGCAAGTTCAAGTCTACCACCAATCTTTGCTGGTCCATCACCACTCTTATTACTCCTTATTACACCTTATCACTTTACAGTATATCAGGCTGCCCCTCTTGGGGGCAGCACAAGAGGAACTATCACTGGGGCCTTTAGGCATGATTGCATAACACTTAAGTCAGAAATAAGGAAAAAACACAAAGTCTGACACATGGTAAGTGTAAACAAGTGCAGAGAGGTGGAATGAGTTGGAGGTAGCACACACAGCCCTCTCATGGCAAGAAATCGCAATACACCACCACTCTCCAAATTCCAAATAGTATTTCTGCTCCTCCCCTGATCGTTGGATCTCCAGAGTATCAGCGAAACTTGCAGGGTGTTTCCCCTATATGTAATTGGCAGTTGAGCGAATCAGCAGTTAATGGGACGTCGGTTTTTGGGGTATAAGTGTGCAAGTCTCCTGGTGCCAAGTCTACTATAAAACAGAATTTCTAGGATCAGGTTTGGATTTCGTAGTCAAACTTTTTTCCCCCCTCGGTGTTCAGACTAAAACCTAAGATATAGGGTGAGTGTTATTAATGATTTTTATTAGATACTGTATGTAGCCATTATATTATTATGCATTTATTTGTTGAAGAAAATACATCTTACAAATGAAAATATTGCAACTAATTTGCCACATCAGTGAAGATGAAAGAACTAAATATTTAACATGAGTCCCAGTACCCAGTTGTAGCTTTAAGAAATACTGTACTTGTGTGTACTGACAGTGTTGCCATATCATACTAGCCATTACATGGATACACAAATGTCCACACCCACAACCCCTGCACACATAATCCTTGTCTCTTCTGTATTATTTACGTTTTTGTCTTACTTGTTTCAGCTCTCTTAAAAAACAAACAAACATAGTTTCTCTAACTTTGATGCTCAAGGAAGTATGACCTCATTCTCAGTCTTTAAATACTGAACAATTTTAATGAACAATTACAATTGTTAGAGGTACAGTGGCACAGATTACTAATATACAATACTACCATTTCTTAACATTACCTCATCATTCACACTTAAGAAATTTTCACAAGGTATGAGATAATGTGCAGTGGATGGGGTTTGTTAAGTAAATATCAATAACTGGTGATAATCTGTGGATGTGTAAAGAGGAAGGTAGTGAAGTGAATCTAACATTACATAGTCTATATTGGTGTTGAGAATTAATACAGGAACATTTGGAATAAGTTTTAACATTGTGGGAGTGTATGTGTATATGGGTTATCACGGTGAAGGAGTGTGCCAAGACTGTTGTATTTGGAGAACAATTTATGTAGATATATTGATATAGATGTGTACAGGCATATTTATTAGATCCAGTATGAATTAGTTTCTTATTTCTCTTTTCATTCTTTTTCTCAAGGTAGCTACTGAGACCCCTAATGATAGTACAGTACAAGGACAACAAAATACTTATGTAGCTATATTAGTACAGTAAAGTATTGTACAGCATATTGTATTAGATGAAGATGCTGATTTAGCCTACATCTTATACTTTTATTTTGGACAGCGAAGTGGCTTTTGAGACTGTGAGATGGTCAGCTATAGGTGGAGAAAGGGAATTTTTAGTATGGTTCAGGCTACACCTATATGGGCAAAAAGAACCTTGATATAAATTTGAATTCTATATTTATTGAGTTCAGTATACATGTTCCTTCTCTTAAGCTTTCCCTAGTATTTACATTCTTACTCATCTAAAATAAAAGGAGCCACGCAGTCATAAATATTGCACAATTACATGTAGGTACAGGTAGTCTTATGTTACACAGTTATGTTGCCACATACAGTTACAGGTGTCATGTGTTGCTATACTAACAAGACCATATACACGCACACAAGCACCTGGTATCCTACATTTATATGCAGACAATATATTTTACTCTACAATCATTAGAGTATTGCAGCTCAAGGTTTCAGGTCATTAATTATAGTATTTAACTATTTATTATGCACAACAATTTTTATAAGCATAAGCAATAAATATTTTTTGTAAAGCAAATGACCTTCACATTCACATACAGTCACATATTGACACACACACACACACATAGATAGTCACCTGTTAACACTCACTTACTGACAGTCATGTCCTGGCTGGCTGTGTGATGGTATGGTGGTAATCTTACTGAGTTGGCAAACTAGCTGCTGCTGGTTAAAATTCCCTTTGATTTTGCATCTGATACAAGTTGATATTGGTAAAAATATGACCATATACCCAGTGGCTTCTTATAACCAAATCTAAAATGGGGAGACATATCTATCATAATCCTCTAGTTCTGTGATGGCCCTGGATCCTCATGACTGTTGCATCAATGAATGCACATAGTAATTGGGTGCCTGTAAGCAAATAGATGTTATTACATGGTTTCACAATGTTACTTATGGGTACAATATTTTATGAAATATTATTTACCCCCTGTTGTGGGCTCCATAATGTATAAACCAACTCAGAATTGTCCACTTATTTGCTACATGATATGGTTCAGGTACAGAAAAATATATGCAAATATTTTCTTACTGATATCTCATCTCCCATTATATATGGTTCATGCTAGTGCTGTATGAGTTTATATTCC